ATGATCTGCATTAAAAATTGATTTGGATCATTTATCAATCGGTAAAAATTGAAAAATAACTGGCGTCAACTAATAATCAACGTAAATTGAAAAATGACGCATAACATATATAAAATTAGCTTTTAAATATTTAATGCAAATAATACTTCCGCAGTTTTTTTTTAATTTGTAAATTTTATACCGATTAAAAAATGACATATGTCATTTTTTAATTGAAAAACAACATATGTCAAATATTAATTGACAGAATCTAAAAATGACGCATAACATATACATAATGATAATTATTGTATCTTATATTCAAAATAAGTCAACCAATTTTATAGTAAAATTCTAAAAAGGTTCGGTAATCGGAATTTTTTTGGAAATGATCAATAAGCTTGTTGATTATTATTTAATCAGCTCAGAAAATCGACCATCGATTGTGGTTTTTAGAATCGATCTCCATCACTATTTATGAACTTTTTTGCTGTGTTTAATTTCAAATCGCAATTTTAAGTGAATCAAATTCTCTAGAAAGAATGGTAATTTTTATAGTGAGAGAGCAAGTAATGGTTATGTCTTGGCAATCGGCAGCTCTAGCAACCGATATATTTTTGGTAAAATATTTATGACATGATCGTACCTGGGTTTATTAATTTTCCTACCACTTCGCTATTGGGAGCATCATAAAATTGATTAATAAGGTAGATACTCCGATATATGAATAATAATTAGTAGAACAAATCCGAGTGGTAGAAGTGGTAGTAAAAATTAGTCAACTTACGTAAATAAGTTAATCGTTATGGATGTAAATCTTAACAAGGATGTAGATCATTATTTCCGTATTTTTTGGGTAACTTTCTTCTGATTGGTCAATCACTTTCAATTGTATTTATACAGTTTAAAGCACTTTTTAAGAATATAATATTCCATAAGTAAAAAAACTAGATAGCTGCGCGGCGTTATCGCGAACGGAAAACCTGAACAAAAAATAAAACAATTAATTATCAAAATGACTGCTGGATGATTACTTAACTCTTCAAAAGATTACTTTATTGACAATCAAATCAATAAATATGGCATTTATTTACGCTGATTTTTATTATCGATATACAATACTAGATAGCTGCGCGACGTTATCGCAAAAAACCAGGAACGGAAAACCTAAAAAAAATAAAACAGTTAATTATCAACATGACTGCTGGATAATTACTTAACTCTTTAAAAGATAACTTTATCGACAATCAAATCAATAAATATGGCATTTATTTACGCTGATTTTTATTATCGATATACATTATATCCGTCAAGTAATTATCTAAGTGTACAATACTGGTAATGATGAAAAATAACGATTTCGGTGTTTTTTTATTGAAATTAATGTCACTTCCATGTACAGCTACGAGTGACATTAACTCTGATAGAAGAAATTTTCTGTCGTATAATTGTTGTTTCTACCTCTACAGTAAATAGCTATGAGCAGTGTAGGAAATCTGATGTTCTCAATGTTCTCTGAGAACATCAATTTTCCAATTTTTTATTAATAAATATATAAAAAAAATGGCTTGAGAACATTAAAATCGATTTAGATTTACAACACTGGCTATGAGCATGAATAAATTATTTTAATTGATTTCCAATGTCACACCAAGTTAATTTTTGTTTTGCATTACCCTTCGGCCCAAATTTTTCAAAATTTCAATTTTTTTTACAAAAACAATTTACTTTATCATAAACAAAAGAATGATATTTGATTCAAAATAATAATAATTATTATTATTATTTAATCAAAATATGAAGACATGCAAAAATTACTCGAGTCTAATTCAGAACATTTCAGAATAGCTCCTTTTATGAAACCTGATTGGTTGAATCTACAAATTTCAGCAACATCCATTCTCAGTATCATTAACACAGTTAAATAACGCTTTCATATTTCTGACCACTTTAAACGTACATATTAAATCTTTGCCAATTTTGGTATAGTCGCGTTTACGTGAAGATTGCACTAGGTCATCAATAATATAAATAATATATAAAATGCCTAATACTCGGTGGTCGAAAAAAGATCCGGAAAAATAATATGCAACAAATTTTTTCCGTATCTATAAAAAGCAAGATTATCTAAATATTATCACACGGTGGACGATCATTCGCAGAGTGAAAACTTATTTCCGGATCTTTTTTTCACCGCACTACAAATCAATAATCAATAAATTAACAAATTAAGAATAATGTGCAATATATGGTTATCTTTTCTAAATAGAAAATTTAGTGTTAGCGTTAGACCTGAGGTTTACAAGTTTAGCGTGAACACTATATACCGCGTGTTACAGAATTTAGGTTGATCTGGAATTGATCTGGAATTGATTCGTGAAATGAAGTAGGTTGATCCGGAATTGGCACGTGTCATTCGTGAATCGTGAAATAAAGTATACTAGCTGATCATTAGGACTTGAACTCATCTTTTAGAATAGTAAATTGAACGAGTAATAATTCTTTTAGAAGTTTGAGAAAATCTTAAGGTGTTAACTTTAGGATAATTACTTACTTAATATTTGGAAAACTTTAATTCAGCCTTCAAAAAAAAAAATCTTATTCAGAAACTCCATAGTTATTTTAACATAATGGTTTAGCAACTTTCCGAATGTTTTGACATCAAAAAATTCTTAATAACGTTATGTTATTCTTTAAATCAAATGACACTTTATATAGTATGATAAGCCACCATTTTACGTATAATAAAGTAAGCACAGCCTAATGTTCTATAGTTATATCATTCTAGGAAAATATTCATGCCTTATCATTATTTAATAAATACTATTATAAAATGACAAAAATTATTATTAATCGGAGAGTTCTCAAATTTCCAGATCGACATTTTCTTAGAAAGTTCTCATTTCGTATTAATATATTCATCGAACTTTATAGATTTATTAAAATGCCTTCTGCTCTTAGTAAAGACATTACTAGTGAATCTGGATACAGTCGAACCTCTATAATTGCACCCTCTATAATTGCACCCATATATAAATTCTCCCTAAATGGATGCCCTGGCATGGTCCCAAGTATATA